CTGCTGTTGTGAAACTGTGTTTTTTAACATTAACAGAATATCAACAAAGTTTTGCGCACATTTGTAATGGAAACACAGCTCATGACGTGTCAGTCAGGGAGTGAGAGTCACAGGTGTGTGGAGACCATGGTGACCCTCATTAGTTCAAACAAAAGAACTGAAGCTTGAGTGGAAAAGCAGCCAAAGTTCACAGAAAACCCTCTGAACCTTCAGMAAGTCTAGACCTGTTGATCCGGACCTCTTTAAAGGATCAGGAAGTCTGGATCATTGGATCAGGACTTTTGCACAGCACTCACCTGTCTGGACAGGTAAGCTGCCCTCTCTTCAACCTTCTGCTTCTCAGTCCTCAGCCGCTCCCTGCTCCGCCTCTCCTGTTCAAGCTCCGCCTCCCTCCTCTGTAGCTCCGCCCTCAGTCGACGGACGCGGCGGTTCACCCTGTCCTCCACCTCGGYGAACGTCTGGACCATTTTACCGTCCAGACCCAGACCCAGCCGCTCCTCCAGCCCGATCCCCACCAGAACTCCAAAGTCTAGTCCCAGCTGGACCCCCGCCTGGACCCCCGCCTGGCCAACCGCGCCCCCAGGAGACCCAGGTAGAGCCAGAACGGAGGAGGGGTCCAGCGGGGCGTGTTTGGGGCCGAGCATTTCCCCGAGCAGCCGGATGGAGGCGGTCGATGAGGCCAGGTCCAGGCAGGCCAGAGGCAGGGCCAGGCTCTGGAGCTCCAGGCCCAGAGACCAGCTCTTGTTCTGGGACACATCAGGGCCGGGCAGTGGGAGTGGACCACCAGGTCTGGAGCTTCTGACCCGAGCCTGAAACAAGACACGGTCAACCTGCTGTCATATTTTATATTTTCTGCTGCTCGGATTGAAAAGCTTGAAGTGACCGAGGACTGACCTGGGACAGGACCAGCAGGGTCTCATAGCTGTGTCGGCTGACCAGGTGAGCCCGCAGCTCAGGTAAGGACGAGAAGCGGAGCTCGTCTCCACATCGAGGACAAAAGTAGGGCAGCTCCGAGGAGGAGGAGGAGGAGGAGGAGAACATGGTCCACCAGGGGGGAGGGGCAGGACCACTGGAGGGGAGGAAACAAGAGGAGCAGAGAGAAAAGTGGGTCAGGAGGTCTGAGAGTCTAGGATGCTGCAGCTGATCMCATAGACCCTTTAGACCAGAAGAACCRGGTCTGCTGAGGTCTGCTGGTCCCCTCAGAGAACATAAACCCAGTCCTGTCTGGAGCTGCAGGCCTGGTGGACCCTTAGACCAGATAATCCTGGTCTACTGAAGGTCTGAGAGTCTATGATGCTGCAGCTGATCCCATAGACCCCTCAGAGCAGAAGAACCAGGTCTGCTGTGGCCTGTGGCTCTGGTCTGGTCTGGATCTGGTCTGGTCTGGATCTGGTCTGGATCTGGTCTGGTCTGGTCTGGTCTGGATCTGGTCTGGTCTGGTTCTGGTGGTCTCCTGGCTCAGTGAAGCGGTCTCTTCCTGCTCACAGGTTATCCACACATGACTGAGCAGGAAGAAAGAGGCGAAGGGGGCGTGGCCTCTTGTCTGTTCAGAACCGACTTCCTGTTTGTTTTCATGGTTCCTGACTCAGTCAGGAGGTTCTGATGGTTCCACAGGTTCTGTTCAGTGGTTCTACAGGGTTGTAGGAGACAAAAAGAGGTTTCACTTCCTGTTGGAAGCTCAGTTTGACCTGTGACCTCTGAGGTCACGTGTCCTGCAGCAGAGACACAGGAACTGATGACATCATTTGTTTCTGTGTCAAACAGAGTTTATAAAGTTAAACATTTAAATCTGTAAAAAGTCAGCTGTGGTTCTGAAGGTTCTGATCTGTGATCCTGATCCAAACCGTTTGTTTTGGTTTTTCAGACAGAAATCATCACAAAGTAATTAATAATTAAAACATTATTTAAAGT